ATGATTCTATGATTCTAGTTTTGTTGTGACCACTTTGTGGGGGTCCACCAAAAAAAGGAATACAGAGGACATACAAAGACCGAACTAAGCTTGTCTGTTCTTGAGGACACCAGGATGCTACTGGCTGCTTGTACTGCCAGAAAAACAGCCTGCACCAAACAAATGTGGATCACCAAGTGGAGGTCTTGGGCAGCAGGTAGAGCTACATTTCACCTGCGCAGGATGTCATGGGAAAGAAGTCTCTTGGGAACATGGGGTGACTCTGACCTGAAAAGATGCTGTAGTTTAAATATGGTCATTCATTGCACAGCTCCATTCTGGATGGTGCCACCGCTGAGCTGTAGGAATGAGGTGCACATGCTAGTGGTTATCACTTTACATATTCCTGCAGTATACACCAGTTTGTTTTTCCACAGTGGAGAACCTTCAAAAGCAGTGATGCAGCATCATAGCTCTGGAGAGGGTTAGTGGGTCCACACATCTCAACACCGCTGTTCTGTGCCCTTTTAGGTGGCCCAGGGGATCACAGACATCCACACAGAGCAGACAGGCATGACATGGGAGACCAGCGCCCTTCTGGCCTGGCTGCTGGATACCAGATGAGATACCCAGGGCATCTAAAACATCTCTGAGTTCCTATCTTCAGGCAACCAGATCCCACCAAGGATGTCATATTTTGAAATCGTGTGTTGGGCAAGCCCAAATAGGCATACTGGCTGCAGATAGTACTTCTAACTGAAGCCTGCTGTTCTGCCCCCTGATGCTTTTTGTTACCTTCACCGCTGCTAAATCAGGGCTAACAACAGCAGTGCCAGCCCCCCGCAGAGTAGCCCTTCTCAGGGCAGATACCTGCTGTGAGCCATTGGGAAACACATGTCCTTTCTCTCCTGCTGGGACCCAACACCATTGAGAGGTGAGGGGGCTGCACTGGTAGGTTCCAGTCCAGTGTACACATCTGCCAGCCGCTTGCCAGTGATACCTCTCAAGAAAAGACCTGTTAAACATTTGTGCACATAGGAGATTTGGAGAAAGCCTTCTTGCGGCTCTTTTTTGGGAGAGACAGCAGCTCACATCACTCCTGGCTTGGTGGGGCAGTTAAAGCAATTAAGGGTGGAAACAGCTCAGGGTGCTGGCTTGCAGTTTGTCTTATAATATCGCACTGTGACCTGTAGCAACTCAGGATGAACGTACCCGTGCATGGGACAACCAAGGACAGGACGTGCCACATAAAACTGCCTCTGTGGCGCATCCCCGGGTCAGTCAGCCCCTGAGGGTACATGCATGCGGGGCACAGGGATGCGCGGGGAGCCACCTGGGAGTCTTAGCAGCAGGGAGTAAAGCCTGAGCTATGCATCTGAGTATTTACCCTGCCCTTCAGGTGCATGTCCTATTCACCCTGAGGTCTGTGTGGCTGTGGCTGCCCTGTTAGCCAGATCCGACCTGGTTAGTTTGAAGCTTTCTCGGGTTTCTCTTTGCAGTCTGCTAGCCCAGCCTGTTGTGAGCTTGCTGCAGCAGGAAGCAAATAACCAGGGGAGTAGCTGTTCAAGGCAAAACTGGGTCGATGAACATTTACGCTCAGTTAACACATGTCACCATTCGGTCTCCACAACTACAGTGAATGCACCTAAAAAGTGAGAACAACCTGAATTAAGGCTGCCATGTAACCTGAAACCTTTGCTTCTTGGCTGAGTGCTTCCTGTGGTGGTGTTGCTGAATTTATGCTCTGCATGGCTATCACGCTGTGACTGAGTGACTTCGATTTCTAATGTCTGCTCTGATGACCATGTTTTCCTTCTTGATTTTTGCCCTTCTCTTCAACTTGATCGGAAGCACGTCTGGACTTACAAAGTATTTCACTCCAGCCCCAGTTCCTCCTTCGACTTTTGACTCAGGGACAGATCCTACGATGCATGGCTATGCCATCGACCTTGGTGGGTCTGTGAGGACTTGTAAGTGCTTGGAGGGTGCTAGCTGATGGTAAAGCATCCTTTCTCTGAGGTGCCCAGCGCCCTGACGTGCCACACAGTGCACTTCAGTGAATCTCTGGCTGAACCGGCTCAGTGCAGAGCCGGTTTGCAACTTCTACGGGGTGCACAGTTTTCAGAACACCTGCCCCCCCTCCATCTTTTGGGGAGAAGTCTGTGTGCATGTGGGTGCTGTAAAGGCAAAGGGTGGGTTGAGGATCACAGCTGCACAACCTTCTGATATTTGCAACCAGTTTTTCACCAGTGCAAAAAATCCCTCTGTGTTCCTGTCTTATACATCTGCATTTTCTCTTTCAGAACCTCTACTCACTTCTTCCTTTGGGTCCCTCCATGCATATATGTCTGATTTGTATAATCCCTTTGTTTGAGTTGTAAGCACTTCAGAGCAGCAGTCATGTCTCCATCTGTATCTTGACAAGGGACTTACATGATAGGTTGGCTTAAAACCACCCGTCTGTAACTGAGCTATCTTAGGCTTTTGCAAGGAATGAACTTAATGAAAGAAAGTTTTCTTTTTGCTGCACAACAATCTGATCACTTTGCCAGCTTTTCTTCATGAAAAAAAGTCTTTCCCAAGGCTGGTGTGAATTTGAAGTCTGCCAGTCTCAAATATTTTTTAATAATTAGTTTATTATTTAAATATTTGGGGAGGGGTTAGCTTGATTTTTGGTTTCTCATCCTTCCAGATACTACAGGTACACACATTCGTATATACGCAGATGAGAGAAACTCATCCTTCATTACATGAACATACATATGTAGATGAAGGAAGAGCTTCTCATTCATTTTCTTGGTCACTGCAGCAGGGGCTACAAGGAAGAAAAAATATTGTGAGATTCACAGTAAAAATCACTAGAGTGGGCAACTCTCTAACTAAAAATAGCTCTGTGGCTACCCTGGCTGGGCTCTGATGTATGTCCTTCCACATACTTTGCTTCTCCCCCACCCTTCTTATTCCATGATCGGAAGTCCACCTTCATGGAAAATGAGTCCATCAGGTTTCAGTAGTCTCCTGACAAGCCAAGTGTGAAACAAAGTGAGCTGCCGCTCCACAACCATGCGTGCGCAGCCGTCTTCTGGGAAATGACGATGAGAGGCTCAGGGCTGACTGCGGTGCTGTAAGGAATTAAGCGCGTGATCATCATCAAATACCAAAACATGTCTACCTGTATTACGTTAAGAGCACAGAACCCACAGTCGTAATTTTTAACTGAAATGCTTGGCTTGGAGGCAAAGCCGGTGTTTGCCTTGATCATCCCAAGTTCTGAATTACCAAGGCTCAAACCAACATATTTTGCACTCTGTCTCCACGTGCAGCCCAAATTAGCCTTTCGTTAGGTGCCTGTAGATACCATTTTTCTTCCTGACTGAAATGTTGTAACAGTCGCAGCCCCGTTCTGCAGGGAGGGTAAGCAGGGAAAATGCATTATGCATTAATGAGATTCGATGGAGTGTGAGCGCAGGTCCCCCAGTGCCGCCAGGGACGGCGTAAAATTCGCTTAATGGTTTCATGAGGCGGGGGTCATTTTCATAGCAGCACTGTGAATATAACCCTGCTACAAGTGGACACGAGTTGTTGTGAGGAAGAAATTGTTCATCTGCATGATAGATCGGTGTCTTCTGGAATTTAAATATTAATTGAAAAGTCAAGGTCAGAGGGCAGCTGACACTTGACTTTGCTCTCTTTCCTCTGTCCACGGCTTTGATCACGCTACATCTTTCTTTGTGCCTGGTGCTCAAGAGAGTACCCCAGGGTCATGGCCTGTTTCCTAGTCAAGAGGTAAAAACCTACTGGCTTAAATATCAGAGGCCCAAGCTTTAGCAGGGGGTGGGGGTATGAAGGGAGAGGGGGGAGCATTTGCTTCATGCTTTTCACATTTCCCACATAACCCAAAGCAGACTAAACAAAACCAGTGTGAAATCTCATGGCTTGATGCTGCTATGGTTATATTTTTTAAGCTGTCATCCATTCATTTATACTTATGTTTATTCCCTGGATTTACAGCTTTTTTTTTTCGGCCTTTTCTTGTGGGGAGGTGGGGGGGGGGAGGTTGAAACCTTTTGAAAGGGGATTGCAGTGAGCAGTGGCCTATGATTAAAGCCCAGTGTTTTTCCTTGATGCCGCTCCTCCGCAGCAGTGTCACACATGGTAGCATTTAGGAGCCCTTCACAGCTGAGGTGTTTCAAACACTAATGAATGGAAGTTTGGTCATATAACGCAGGCAAGCTTTAAGGCATGCTTTGCTGAATGGTGTACTGTAGTGGCCTGGGAAAGGAAGAGAGTTATAAATTGTGTCAGTTAGCCACCCAGACAAAATGAAGCCATGTGGAAAATCAAATCTATTAAAGTATGAAGACTGTTATAAGCTGTTTTAAGCTGGTCATTCTTAAAAGGTCTCAGTTGGCTGAGGGAGTAAATTCCTGTTTTTCCTAGATCTTTTTCACATGCTGTCTCAGGCGATGATGTGCAGCATTTGATAAAAAACAACTTTTCACTGACAGCCCCTTTTATCAGAAATGTTTTGCCCCCAGTTTACTGCCCACGTCCTGGAAGGTACTGCACAGTTGTTAAATAAGCAGTGTAAGAGCATCGCATTTGGGCAGGCTTGCTGAAGTCGAACATGAAGGCAGCGGTGGGCTGGAGGAGGACAGCGAATGAGGAGGAGAAGGCTTCCCAGAGCACCCACTTAACATTGGATACCTGCTCAAAATGCTTTCCATTTTCTAGCGGCCCACGTCTGTTGGCTGTTAAGAGGGCCGTGACAGAGCACAGCACAAATTATTTTTTCGTGGCACCCCCTGGGGTAGGAGGAAAGCCTGGCAAACTAAAGCGGGGTGACTGGAGAGCGGGAGACCTTCCCCTCCTCCCCAAGGTGGCCTCTTGAGATGTCACAGCAGCTGTAAAGGGCATTTTGTTAGCTCAGGAGGTAATTGTCAGCTGTGTGAGAGAAGAGTGAGGTGGCAGCCTAAGACGCACGGTCGCCACTATTTATTTTTTCTGTTTGTGTATTCTAGGAAGAGACTGAAGAAACGTCCTCACAAGAGTCTGCAGAGGAAGACTAGGAGGCCGCACCATGCAATTTCTACCTCATCAGCAGTTGGGTCTTTTGAAGGGAGAAGACACTGCCTTGACCACTTATTTTCTATTGCCATGGTCTTTCCACTTTTGCCTGGGGGAAAAAAAAATAGCATAACCTTAAAAAGGATTTGACTAATCATCTTCTTTGTAATCCCTTCACGGTCCCAGGTTTAGTGAAAAACTGCTGTAACACAAAGGGGACACAGATTAATGATGCAACTTTTAATTACTGTTTTCTTTTTTCTTAACCTACTAATAGTTTGTTTGAGCTGCTAAGTAAGGGTGAATGGGTCAAGAAGAGCTCCAAATCAGGTTTATGTCATTCACTGCACTGCATATAAACAAGAAACTTGTAACATAGTCATTATAATGGGCATTGAAATAGGAAAGGCTGGGTGTGTAACACTATAGCCTTGCAACACTTCCAGCAACCCACTCCCTACTTAGTGAACTCCCTGTTTTAGAACACCAAAGATAAGGGATAGATACTACTCTTTTTTTTTTGTAACCTTCTTGTAGACTTGTACTTGATTTTTTTTTTTTTTTAAGACTTACTGTTATTTCAGGAGAAAAATTGAAAGCTGATCTTTCACTTCATTCAGCTGGTAACGGAAGAAAGAAATCAACACGAAAAAGGTACTTTCATTTTGCAAAAGGGAAGAAAGACAAAGATCCGTTGTATAGTTATAGATACAAACATGTCGGCAGAAGTAATAGTAAACAAAATGAACAGCCCTCATCTTCTGGACCATAGGAAGCCAGACGGAGTCGGTTTTCTGTAGAGCCAGGCATTTTCTATGGAAACAAAAATGACTGACACCAAACACTCTTATGCCGTTAATGACTAAGTCTTTATCGAGAAAAGTGTTTTAAAACATACAGAAAGGTACCTCAAAATTAATCATGAATTTATCTCAACAAAAATAATCCATATGTTTTGCTTAGTTTCGACTAATTCCACTCGTCCTGTACCAGTATTTCAAAAGAATTGAGTCTCTCCTCATTACTCATCAGTCATGATGTAAGAACCAACACCACGTACCTCAGCTAAGCTCGTGCATTACTTTAAGCAATGTATTTTGACATAGGATGGTTCACTGAGCACCTCTGTGCCAGTGGCATTTCTCCATCTTTTCATTCAAAGCAGCACTTTTAGCACCAGATGCAATATTACCCCACTATTCAATACTACCTCTGATTTTTACAATTAACTCAACAGACTGATAAATACATGCTGCTATACACATTAAATGCAGGAAATTTTTACTGGGTAGATAATCATGAGTATCTGCATTTTCCCCTTATTTCTACTTCAACACTTAATTGCAGTTAAGGAAGCAATATCTTTATTGTGTTTCGGCATGACTATGTATTTTTCTTTCTCTTGGTTTGTTTTTGTTTTTTTTTAATGTACTTACCCTATTCTCTGCTAGACTTCTGTGTAATGTACTGTTAACTTGAATATATTTTTGTACTGAATTGCTGATAGGTTTGTGAGGATAATTTTCTTCAATGACACTACATGACATAGAAAAAAATTTAGCTGTAATGTTTAAATATTACTGTCCAAGTTTGTACCTCAAATGAATTGTTTAAAGAAATGGACTAATTGATTGACAAAGACCTACCTCCAGACTTTAAATGAAAAGAACTTGTTACTTTCAGCATTAGTTTTGAGACGTTTGAAACAGTTAGGACTGCAACTAATCCCTAATTCAAAACTATTTTTGTAAAATAACTTGTGGAAAGTGAACACATTTTAAATTACTTTCGTATTAAAAAAAAAAACGAACAAAAAAAAACCTTCAAAGAAACTTGAAGCTTTGTAGGTGGGAAGCAACAAGCTCAGCTTTTGCATAATGCAATCACAAATATGTGTTTAAAAAAATTAATTAGTAGATTGTAAGAAAATACTTGACAAGTATTTTCATGTATTTTACACAAATGTGATTTTGTAATATGTTTCAGCCAGATTTATTTTAAATGCTTCTTATGTAGAGGTTTTTATTCTCCTCTCTCTCACTTTTGTTGTTCTTTCTCTCTCTCTCCCCTTCTATTTCATTTCCTCTATTTCTGTTTTATTTTCCTTCTTCCTCTCTTTCCTAGTCAGTACTTTGTATCATTGTATTAATAACTGGGCCAGGGGTAGTTTCTCAGGAAGGCATCTGTTGGTATGGCTTTAGTACCGAGCCAAATGCAGTTAAAGATAACTACTTACTGGCTTCTTCCAAGAGGCAGTGTCAAGAACTGCGGACTTCCTCGAAAGCCCGCAGAGGGTTCAGTGACGGAAATCGCTGAGAAAGAGCTGATCGGAGTATTACAACTAGTCACGTTAATATTAAATGAAAGAGAAATAATCCTAGCTATACAGTAGCTCTAATAGGCCAAATCCAGTGTCACTTCAAGGCAGTAGAAGGAATTCTGCTGACTTCAAAGGGCATCGAATCAAGCCTTAGCAAGTCTCTTTTGGGGTTTGGGGTTTTTTTTGCATTTTTTAAAACCACAGTATTCAGTGGATGACACGGAAGTAATCTCTGGGTGTGTGTCACACTTCAACCTCCGAGAGACTTACCACTCTGATGAACTGAATCTTGTATTTTCTATATATTGTAGTACAATCAAAACACATTACTACCTCTTAGGGCCTACTATACCTCATTTTTTCAGACTGAAAAATTGCATGTGGCCATTGAATCAGTGAGAACATCATAAAATTTTTTATATATATAGTTTATTTTTATGGGAGATAAATTTTATACGACTGTTCTTTGCTGTCATTGGTCACTGCTAACTAAGACTGGACATTTAACTCTTCTACCATTTCTGCAAGAGAGGTATGTTTGCAGGAAAAAAAAATAACCGCTTCAAGATGTTTAACTACAGTTTACTTTTTCTTTTGAGTGTCTTCTAACTTTTTGCTTTGTTCTTCGTGTAGAGTTGCTGTCTATGATTGTACTTCGAATCGCTTGCTTGTTGAAAATGTTCCTTTAATGGATTATCACAGTCTGTTCAGCACAATAAACATAATAGCCTCTGTGATCCCCATGTTGTTTGATTCCTAGACTTTTGTCACAGTTCCATAAAATGGGTAATAAAGTTTGGTCACAGTGACCAAATTTGTAAAAGCTTTGCATGCAAGTAGTCTTTTTTTGTCCCAGGACCGTAGGCATGTGCCTAAGAAGAAGTGCATTTGCTGTTAAGGGCCCCCAGGGGTGAGTGCTCAGCAGAGGGACACGTCTTATGAGGCTCCCTAAAGGTGAGGCACCCGTTCCTGGCTTGGGACTTGCTGTGCTGAGCTAAGGGCTAAGCCGCGCACTGGGGAGCAGTGATCCTACCTGCCAGACAGAAAATACTATAGCACAGGCAAGACTGAAATGGGGTTTGTTGCCTGGCTTCTAACCTGCCTCTTGGGGGTCCACCAAGATGATGAGCCTTCTCCTCTCTCTACGCAAGATTGCAGTTCACATCCAAGTTCATGGAGTTTATATGATGCAGCCATTAGGTTAAAAAGAGCAGGTACTCAGAGCAGCAGAGACAGGGATGTGGCTGGGTATGGTCTGGGGCAAAACTTGAGGAGCTCAGGAAACTCTGCATTAAACACTGACCCCTCCAAAGCTGTAATAGGCAGGTTGGGCAGGATTCTTCTGGCTTCCCCTCTTCATTTGCTCTTACATGGTCCCCTGGCCTGTTACAATGAGATTTAAAGATTGCGGTGCATGTCCATTCATTCATACTTGCAACCATGCCTCTCTCACCTAAGACGATTGTTCAGATATTAATTCCTCAGATGTTTAGGTTTACACATTCTTTGTGTTCACTCATTTGCAAACTCTCCACCTAATCTCTTTTGGCTTAGTAACCTCTGCTTTCCCAAGGGCTTCATGGCATGTTCCCTTTGGACTCGGTTACTTGTAAAATAACCAAAATACAATCACAAAAAAAGCATTAAGTAGTAACACCCATTCAGTCCTGAGTCAGAGATGTGAGTAATTGCATTCATCACGTTATGTATCCTCTTCTCTTCTCCTTTCTCACCCTGCTCGGTGGTATTAAAGGATCATTCCACTTTTCGATCTTCCTGGTGGTCTTCTTCCCTGTGGTTGCCATCACTCGGATCTTCCTGTTATTTTATCTGATGTGATTCTCCAGCTGTAACCCACCCACCTTATGGATCAGCCAAGTGGCTGAACTTCTGCTACCCTGTGCTGAACTCCCCTCTACTTCTTATTAGTCATTCCTCCAGCTTGCTTCACTCCCACTTCCCTTCTCGGGGCATCTTCCAATAAACTTCTGCACGCTTGATGCCACAGTGGGACTATTTGTGTGTATAAAACTAATCGGCTTCTGCAGGATCAAGGCCTGCGTTTGTCTAGCGGCCAAGAGTGCTTTATCCAAGGTGCCTGTGGCAAGGGTCTTATTAAGTTTCTGCTTTTGCTTCCCACTCCCATCACATCACATCCACACAAAGATGGGGAATTACTGAAAGCTGGCGCTGCCAGTGCCTTGCACAGCAATTTAATTGTCCGTAGCTTTTTTTAAAACCAGAACATCTGGTCTGGTCATCATTAGAGACAGGATCCAGAGCAATGGCAACAACATGTTCCTCTGATCACAAGAGAGGAGTCAGATTTTTCACACCTCAAACTTCACCTGAAGCCTGAACGAAGCAATGTTTCTCACCCCGGCACCTTTGCATGTATGGACGTAGAATTTCTGTCTCTCAATTCATCCTTTTTTAATCTCCCACCATCCTCCTGATCACATTAATTTTTAAACATACAAATGTACTTTGGCATATAGCCTTTAGTGCAAATAAAGGTCCAATTGCTATATGCCTTCTTGATTCAGAAATAATACCAATTGAAGCTTTATTACATCTACTTGCTCGGTCAAACGAATGTCTGCCACTGTGTGTTATATATATTGTCTGAAAAATACAGACATCGTTGCTGTCTGGACGTTTCATAGCCAGCACAATTAATGTGGGTTAATGCTCTGCTCCTGCCGGGCTCCCGGACCCATGGGCTGTGTGCCACGCTAGGAGACACTAGTGACGGGGAAACCTCG